TTGCGTAGCAGGTTGGCAAATTTGGACATCTTGTGACAATCTACCCCTATAAATAGAGTTCATTTGCGGATGGAGAAAAAAGACGAATAGAGGAAAAGAAGAGAAAGAAATGAAAAGAGAAAGGAAATAAAAGGATAGATTTATGTCCAAATTACGGATATAAAAATATCAAAAGAGAGAAACAAGTGATATTTTTATTTGTTTTATGTTATTCCTTTCTATTTTAAGTGCTCAATTCTCGATTCCGTTCCCGTTCGCCGGAGCTCGTAAATCTGGTGTGCTACAGATTTAGAGACGTTTGCCGTTGTATCTTTGGGGAAGTTACGCCTGAACCGTTAGCTGACACACGGGGCGTATTCTTCTTGCGGAAAGAGTTTTACTCGCCTCGGCTAAAATCTTTCCGTTTTTCAGTTGTAATTTATTATTCAGTTCTATTGTAATTTTCTATTTTTAGATTATTTGTAAGAACTGAAAATACATATCAGTTCGTAGGATTCCCGTGTAATTTTGACACCAAATATCCAACACTGGACTGGGAGTAAAAAAAGGGAAGTGTTCTTATTTTTATTCCTATCATTTGTATTCCTTGATATTATTTATTCCTAGTTTGTTTATTTTTTTTTATAGTGTATCATGGGAATCAAGGAAGGATACTTACCATGTGGAGAGGACGAAATCACCATGTAAAATCAATGTGGATATTTTAGAAATCTAGTTACCATATTGAGCAGCCGTATAGGTGATTGCACTTGGTTTAGAAAAGGAAGTCTTCTGTATCATTCCTAAGTGTAATAGGCCAAGCATCTATATGATTGATAGAGTTCCGAAGGTTCCAAGGCAGTAAAATCGCCCAGGCTACAGCGAGTGACTGTGGCCTTTGACGACATTAAAATGATTGAAGACAAAAACATTGATGTCCGTTACTCAAGATTTTGTGATATGATCAATCAACAATGCTTGGAGAGGAGATTTCTGAGGTACGTCAAGTTAAAAAAATCATGAGGACACTACCAGCTTGCTTCAGAGAGAAGATCGAAGCTCTTGAAAGCTTTCAAAGTGTCAAGCCACTTGATCTCGATGACCTCATTGGTGACTTCAGAATGTTTGAGATCCACAAATACGACAAAGTAAAAAACAAGGTTCTAGCCCTTAAAGCCGCAGTGGCATCAAAAGCTGAAGAAAGTGATGACTCAATGTAGGTTCAATGGAGGAAGATGAGTGATGACTCAATGTAGGTTCAATGGAGGAAGATGTTGAGTTCAAGGAGACATTTTTTCTTGATTAACAGAAATTATGGCAAGATGCGTCAAAAGCTTTACAAGAACATGTTTGTTGAAAAGAATTCAATAACAACAACAAGAACTCAAGACGAACCCACATTTACTCGTGTGAAGTTTGTTTGAGTTTTATCTATTTTATTTTTTAATTTAGAAGGAAAAAAAAACCAATCAAATCAATATCCAATCACACCCTAAATATCTAACATATGTTAAAATTAGTGTCAACATATGTTAATTAGTGAGTGAATTAAAAAATGGCTGAAAAAAAATAATCCTCAAGATTCAAGAAAACAAAATTAAAAAGAAAAAAAGGTTCATGGATATGTAATATATATTCAAATTCCCAGAGCAACACCAAATGGAATAGAGACACTTGTCTCCATTCCATTGGTTCACCTTTTTTTTTCTAATAATTTTTAAACTAATATATTTTTTATATAATCAAATAAAAAAATAAATAAATATATCAAAATTCATAATTTTTAATTTTCTACAAATAGAGATCAATTTTGCTATACTTATTTTTTATTTTTAAATTGACATAAATATATAATTTTTAATTCTCTATCATTTAATTTGCTCAATACAAATGAAAAAAGTAACAGTTTTTAAAATGTGAATATATGTGCTAGACCATATATGGTCTAGAGTGTAACTTTGCATTAAATGTTACATCTTTCATAATTTGCACTAATACAATGAAAAAAAGTAACAGTTTTTAAAATGTGAATATATGCGCTAAACCATATATGGTCTAGAGTGTAAATTTGCACTAAATCGTATATTTTCAATAGTGTGTGTGTTGTAATTTTTAATTTTTCATCTTGTGAATTGTAATTTATAATTACAACAAAATGAAATAAAAAAAATATAATAATTAAATAAAATCAAATTAAGAAAAAAAAGGTTGTGGTTGGATGTTGGTGTGGTTGCTGATAAACTTGCAAAATTGAAATGGTGTGGTTGGGATGATTATTGATGATGTGGAAGAGAGAGAAAGTAATTAAATATTATGGTGGTTGAATGGTTGGGTGTTTGGAAAAGTTGCTGTTATTCGTAGTCTTAGGAAACTGGGAGGAAAAGAAACCTAACTGAAGGAATGCAAATTCAAATTACAAATGCTCTGCAAAAGAACACAACGGAAAATACCAAGCAAATAAACCGTAGGGCCTCAAGGGCAAAAAGACCAAAATATTAATCCACCATAATCAGAAAGCATGAGCAAATTACAGTAGAGGTCATAAGTTTAGGCTGCAGCTATTAGGAAGCGTACAACTCACCTTCCCCGCTATTACAAAATACACTGGGCCAACTCTGAGACACATTACTGAGTTAGTAATTTTGAATCGCACGCGACAATCTTGACAGACTCAACAGTCTCTTGGCCTTCCTCGCTTTTGAGCTGGGCATTTTGTAAGATGAAGGTCCAAACGTTGTCACAAAATCGATAGGTGTGAAGATGACCCTGCAGCAAAAAGACGAATATAACAGATGGTTCCCGCCTCAAAGCATTACCGAGTGTGCAATGGAAAGATCAATGAAATAATAGCAGGAGTCGAAATGTAGATAAAATACCAAACAAAGACGAATGCTTGTCTTACCGGCCACTAGACAAGAGATGGAAAAAATTGGACGTAAAGGAAAGGCATGCTAAATAACCATTCTACCTTATCAAAGAACAACTACCAAAAGAGAATATTATTTATCCAAAAAAAAAAAAAGAAGTATTTTCAATTGAATATCTTCCATTTTGCTTGTAAGATTCTTAGTTCAAAAAAATTTATGCAATAAAAAATGAGTCCGGACAACGAAGTTCACGAATTTTCATGCAGAAAACATAGAAAGTCAAAACACCTTACACAAGAGTCAAGACCAAGTGTCCTCAAGAAAAGAAAAAAAAAAGAAAGAAAAAAAAAATTCAGATTATATTTCACTTGGAGTATAAAATTATCAAGGGAAGTAAAAGCTTACTGTAGTCAGAGCCAAGTGACTTAACATATTGGACGAATAGATCAACATCTTGTTTTACATATATCTCGTAAAGCGATCATGTTAGTTCGATCATTCAATGTTTGGTGAAATAAAACATGCAGACGATTTAAAATTTCATGTAATCTACTTAGATATCAAAAGAGATTACATCTTATTGATGAATGTCATTAAATATTGGGATACAAATAACATATATCAGTTACCAATTTTATGAAAGTGCAACAATGGGTACGAGTAGTGAAATAAAATAAGTAGACGAGTAAAAATTTCATCTGACTTACTTGATATCGAAAAAATTATGGTATGCACTGACGATGCTATTTAATATGGGGATACATTGATCATGCGTGATTTACATATTTTATCAGCAGAATGTGATCACATATCTTCAACAACAACAACAACAACAAAATTATTACAAATTATCTTAACTATAAATTCCTCAATCTTCACATCGTCATGATTCAGCAGTATAATTATGCAAGTACAAGCCTGAAAACTCGGGAAAGGGAAATGATGATGATGGCAGAGACAGTACTTAAAAAGTTATTAATAACTAATATTTAACTTAAACAATATATTGACTTCCAGGTTCCAGCTTCAAACAACAAAGTTTATGATAGCATGAACCAGGATATGCACATGTTGTCATGCATAAGCAACGCTGAAATAAAATCCAACACTTCCCTTCCCCATAAACCTGACTTCAATTACTCAGTAAAATTCAGCTATATCCTTTGCCAAAAAATAAAAGGCCATTTACCTTGATTGACACTTTGCTCTTCACCTCACTTTCTAGAGCTTCAGTCATTGACTGCAAACGAGGGAAGCGACGTTAAGGATAATTTCAGTTGAAACATGCATTTAATTTAACCAACGATAAAAGCCAGAGCAGAATCAAGGAAATCAAGTGCAAGTAAAACTCTCAATATCAGTTTTCAGCCTGTCATTACAAATTTATCATGAAAAACATTTGACTATAGGATGTGGGTCCAGCCCAAATTGCCTGCGGTTCTATTAATTCCAGATCTATATAAACTGAAATCAATATCCCATTCAGCCCATCGACATTACACGAGTCCAAGTGAAAAAATCATGAACAAGATGTAGCACATGTGACCAAACTCATTTGAAGAGATATCCAGCAATCTATGTATGCATTTCATCCCACAATTTTCACGACTCTTTCACATTTAAAAGACTAAAGTAAAATGAATCGGTAAACTTGTCGAAATGAAATATCTAGAGGACTGGGTTTATTTCAAAAAACAACACTCTTCCTCAGATCTTGGAAATCAAGCATGAGTACCGAAGCTCAATCCCAATCTAGCCTACAACAATCGATACATTTCTTCGACTTTAACTATCGTACCACACAATCATTCTACTCTCGTGACAGAAAAAAGGGGAGAAAAAGAAGAGCCCACCTTGTCAAACTGAATCAGCACTTGAATGGCGAGCTCGGGCGTAAGAACTCCACTCGAAACCATTTGATCCAAGGTTTCAGTCAAGCACATCCCAATCGTCGATCTCCTGTAAAGCTCGAAAGTCGCCATTTGCAACAGGACTATCCTACACAATTGTCGGAGACCAACAACGATAAACAAGCAATCTGGTACAAAAATCATTCCTCGATGAAAAAAAAAAATTACAACAGAAATCGAAAAGGAGAAACATTTGATCATCCAGTAAAACAAAATTACCCGGTGGTTCGATCGGAAAGTGCCTGCCGATTGAGAAATTAAGAGGGCGGAGAGGGGTTTTGTGCGTGTGTGTGTGTGTGTAGAGAGAGATGGTGGAGAGAAGAGAGGGAGAGGAATTGGGGTTTATATACCCTAGATTTTATAGATGGGATTATATATAGGCGATTGCTAGAACTGCAAGGAAGCCAAAAGACTATAATACCCTCAGAAGTTTCGGTTTATATTATATTTATATGGGATTATTGCTTGTAAATCGTAATCGTTGGTAGTGATTATGGGATACTTATGGGTGATTGGATACAATTTTAATCGAATTTATTGGTTCATTGGAGTTAATTTTGAATATAAATGATTGAGGGAGGATTGTGTGAGAATTTTAGTTATCAAAAATTTCAAGATATCATACAAAGTTCAAAATTTAGGGCGTGTTTGTATACAAATTTATCCGCGCAAAATGAGTTTTTTTGGTTAATTAGATTTAATTTTTGAAAAAAGTGGTATCTTTAGTTGTTAGTGGGATTTTGATTTTATATTAAAATAATATTTAAAATAAAATAATTAAAGTTGATTTGATATAAAAATATGAGAGATAATGTGTAAAGTGATGGTTATTTAAAATTATGTAAGTAGATGAGTAGTAAATTAAAGTTGATGTGATGTGTAATATTGATTGGTTGGTACTATTTAATTATATTGATAATAGTGAAGATAGTGGAGTTGGGTTAAAGCCGAATTAGATTTTGAGTAGAAATTGAGTATGGAATTGATTTTTTTCATATACAAACACACCCTTAAATAAGATGCAGAAAAGATAAATGAACAAAGGTGAATAAATTTAACCTTCAGGTGGGTTAATATTTTGTAAACTAAGGCAACATGTTAAAAATTACTATGATATAGTCATATCGCAGTGTACCGGTCCCAGTACTGATTACTCGACCGGATGATAAATATATGAGTCGACCTCCGCTAGTCGACATTCATGAGTCGACTCCCCTAAAGTCGACTTCTCCCATGAACTACCCAAGGATTGCCTTCAACCCGATAGCGGCTCCAAGACGATTCCCTTAAGTCGACTTCTGTAGTCGACTTCCCTCAAAAAGATGAGCGGGTGGAGCGTAATCTCCAAATGCTGGTACGTGACCTAAGTTGACTCGACGATACTCGTAGTCGATCTATCCTGCCTCGAGGCACCAAGAGCTCCGATGACTCCTATACACTTCGACATAGCACAGTGAAACCTCCAAACAATGGTGAATCTACATGGGATAGAAGGAATCTGGATGCTGACTAAAAGGTGGATGTAATGCTAACCGACCAGGACATTTCGGACATTTTACGTAAGTCGGCCAGGGCATTTTAGGTACTTCAAGTAAGTGTTTTACTCCTATATAAAGGGACTAAAGTAACCCCGAACCCGAATTTTCACTCTCTCTATTCATTTTTCCTCAGCTGCTGCTCCTACTGAGCAGAGCTCACTTCATAACTCTCATACTGACTTGAGCGTCGAAGGCTCTTCATCGAAAACACTTCCGGTGTTGAGTTCTTGCAGGTGTTTGCAGCGATTTAGAGATGTTTCGAACAGATCGGAGCTCATTACCACCGGTTGGCTCCAGATCTTGGAGGAGACCCATCATACTATAACCAATCAATCACAACATTTTCAAGCAATTATAAAACACTCCCAATACATGTAGTGAACGAATTAAAAATAACACAAGTTCGAATGAGATGCACTCTTTCAAATCAAACTAACAGAAAGTGAAGAACACGATAATTCTAAGAGTATGATAAGAGCAATAATAAAGAATACAAGCCTGAGAGATCCTTGGTGACGAAACTCAAATATTTTCTTTTTTTTTTTTGGTCTTGAGAGTCCCGTATGTTGCTCCACTGTTGTGAAAA